TGTGTGCGCGCGCGTTTGTGTGTGTGTGTGTGTGTGTGTGTGCGCGTTTGTGTGTGTGTGTGTATGTGTGTGTGTGTGTGCGTGTGTGTGCGTGTGTGTGTGTGTGTGTGTGTGTGTGCACGCGCGTTTGTGTGTGTGTTTTGAAGGAACAGGAAGCCACAAAACTAAGTACAGCGCAGCAAACCACAACTCAACAAACCATACTGAACTCAGCGGACCCTTGCATCATGGTCATCCCAGTCCGTCGAAACCAATTACCCAGGGGTTGCATTGAACTCAACCATCCGATATTTTGTCATAACCGTTCATGCACTTTGTGTCATTGGTGATCGAATACATACCCAAAAACATCATTGGGAGGTATAATCTTGTGCAATCAAGGCATATTTGCAGTGTATTACTATTTATGCAGACGTATATCCATGTCATCGAAGGGAATAGCAGATAGAAGATAAGACAACCCAATAATATCATATTTGACAAAAAATTATATATATATATATATATATATACATGGGAAATCATCAGCCTTCAGCAACTGATCAAAACACCAAATAGGATTTGTACAAATATGAACGAGTTAACGAAGAGCAAACATTCAGACATTTTAAATGGTTTCCTTGTAGCTTGTATTCCGCTGCCTAGACGCATGTCAAGAAAAATTGTGTTCCTAGAATTAGTGTCCAGATTATCTTTTTACATGCTAAACCATTAACTCCTACTTCTCAGATATCATGTAGCGACAGACTTTTTCAAATCACCCGACAAACGAAACTGAAAGGAACAACACATGATGCATCAACTTCATACCTTAAAATACCTGCTTCAACTCCAAGCACATCCCTTACTGTAGATCATGATCTAGTTCAAACAAGATGCAGACATCAATTAATATTCAGCTATATTAAAAGCGGAAGAAAGGTATGCAACATTAAGATCCGAAGCCCGACCGTTTAAAGCATTCAGTTAATCGGCCCAACCCGCAAACAGTTAAGACAAGTGCGACGGCCCATCATCTTGACTCGATTATCAGCATCCATTTGTGACACAACAACCAAATGAACGATCAAAATCTATAACATTGAGACAATAAAAAGCATCCACAAAATACCCAAAAAAAACGTGTGTCATTCATATGCCAGTAGATACTCCGTTAAGCTTCATTCCCCCTCACACATATGCTGGATCAAACACTCCGCCGAACCCAAAGAGCGTCGTGTGATCTGGAATACTCTGCCATCACCACTTCACCTTGCATCCCAACCTTGCCCACCAGATCGATCCTCACATCTATCTGCGCAAGCGCCCCTGATCAAAGCGGTGTATATACCCCTTCCTGTTGCATATACTCCAGGTGGGATTTTGACGATCTGCTCCAGCGATGCAGTACACGTATCCCGATCTTTGCCAAAACAACGACGATAGTGTAATGCGTATAGCCAATCAAAACTATCTTGCAGCACAACCGCTTCCACTAGCCAGGATTTTCATCCATCCTCCAGCGCCTGCCACTGGCTTTTTCTTCACACACCAACTCATTTGGACACCAATCACAGGAAGGCAACCAATCCCTATAGCCCTTTCTCCTTACATCAGTCCATCCCGCATACGCCAATTCAATTCCCATATCCATCGTCGCAGGCACATATGGTGAACGTATTGACTAGTCTCCCGCCGGTCGCACATAAACCATAAGGAACACTGAAGATCTGACTAAGCGATACAAGACCATACCGCCTATTACAGCCGTCATGGAAACTACAGCGCAGCATGTATGAACCAGCAAATCATTTTCATAGCAAACTCCCACCTCCCTAGCCCACATCCCCATCCACATCCTACCCAATATCATCGTCGCCGTAGGTAAACATACTCCAAACCATAACCACAAGAAGGCATACAACACCTTCCATCACCCTACTCCTTTCGACAAAATCTCTGTTGCGCAGCGATCCCAGATGAGTTGCTGTTGGGATAGCAGAATCCGCAATCACGCACTCTTAAAGAAGAAAATTCCATGAACACGAAGAAGGCAAGTAACGCTAGGAAGATCGCAAAGATTGAAACTATAGCAACAACCACATATGCGGACTCCATATGGAAACTTCACCTTCGGTTTTTCATCAAACATTACTGCACGCGCATCAATTCCTACATTATCACTCACACGCAGGCAATCATCACGACACAAAACAGAAATGCGAGAGCCAACGAGAGGTTAGGTAATACCATGCACCGAGGAAATTTGAAAAGTAACGTAGTTTAGAAATCCCAATTTAACTTTACGACCCCATTGTGTCGACGAAACTGTAGGGTAGCTAGTAGGTCATCCCAGAAGCTTTTTCGCCAATCCCTACTACGATTGGCTCATCAGGGGGTACATTACCCTTAGTTGTCGTGTTGAAAGGGATAAGGCTTTCTTTTAAGCCATTGGGAGAAAGAATAGGTATTATTTGATGGGGGGTGGACGTAGGAATTCATTACCATACATTCCGGAACCGCTGGTTCTCCCATATCTAATGCTCACGAAGATGGCCGAACAAGCAGTTTTACCAATCGCAAACACAGACAATTGTGAGAGCTTACAGGGAGCGCAGGTTATCTCCACGAGCAGCACATAGCACAGTCGAGATGGAAAAGACAGATGGGAGAGAAAATTAGAAGCGCGAAGCGACTGGCGGAGCTTAACCGAGAAGCGACGCCTAATACCTACTTCCTCTGCCGTAGGCACTACGACGTATACTAGCGAGCTTCCAGGTCCATCCTTGTCCGATGAACCAAGAAAGTCCGCGGTCGAAGACACTCCGCCGATTGAGGGAGGAACCTATCGGACCACCTTCTTAAATATGCCTAGTCTAAGTCCAAAAAGAGCGTCGCATCGTTTTGGAAACTATTTCCGCCAGCCACCATCAAACCCACACCACCTTTTTTGGGGGTTTCATTGAGGAGAATAGGGGGGGGGGGGGGGGGGGTTGTTTGGCTCCTACTCCTCGTATTATGTACATAACACATTTATTAGGCCCTAATAATTATTTTTGAACAACGGCCCATGAAATATTTAGGTTTTCTGGGGAAGAGCAGGGAGGGGTTTTGTTCGAACTTTAA